TTGTATTTACTTTCTTCTTTCTTTCTTTCTTTCTTTCTTTCTTTCTTTTTTCTTTCTTTCACTTTTCTTTCTTTTTTCTTTTTTCTTTCTTTCTTTCTTTTGCTTGTTTTTGGATCTTTCTTTCTTTTCTTTTCTCCATTCATTTTTTTTCATTTTTCCTTTCCATCGTATATTCTTTTCTTCTTTTCTTTTTTTTTCTTTTCCTCCTATTGATTGTATTTACTTTCTTTCTTTCTTTCTTTTACTTTCTTCCTTTCAATCGTATATTCTTTCTTTATTTTTCATTTCTTTCTTTTTTCTTTCTTTGTCATTTTCTTTTTCTCGTTCGTTCTATTTTATTTCTTTTATATTTTTTCTTTCTTTCTTTATTTCATTCTCACTCTTTCTTTCTCACTTTCATTCTTTTTCATTCTGTTCTTTCTTGCTTGCTTTTTTCCTTTGTTTTCTTTTGTTACAAAACACGGTCAAGATATGTCAAAAATAATGCAAGCCTTATTAATAAAAACAAACAAAGCAACACTTAATAATATTAACTTTGAACATGGACATAATATCTTGACCGTGTTTTGAACCAAAAAAAATGAAAACATTTTATAAAACATACATACAGCAAACTATTTCTAATTTTAACAGTTAATATATAATCCTTGAAAATGTCTAAATGAATAGCCGGAAGCGCTCGGATAAAAGGACATTTGGACAGTTTTTATATAAATTATCATCCAAAAAGAAATACAATTAGTAGATCGCATGAGAAATTGTATTAAAAAAAAAACTAAATAAAAGCCCCTTCTCTGTCAGAATGTTCAGAATGTTCCGTGTTTGTGTGTGTGTGTGTGTGTGTGTGTGTGTGTGTGTGTGTGTGTGTGTGTGTGTGTGCGTAACGAATGCACGGCCGCAATTTTCGACGGACTTGCACCAAAATTTACATGCACATGCTCCAAGTTAGCGGAAAGGCCAAGACCGACTTTGAATTTCCCAACTCCCATCGATAGTGGAAATAATCGATTTTTTCATGCTTCTACGGCACTTTTCATGTAGTTTGCGGCTATTTTCTACTAGCCAGAGTGAGAGCCACGAATAGGCAGGAAGATTCTGTTGGCCAGCGTGAGAGCCAACACCTGACTGACACGAATGTCAACTAGCATGCTAGCATGCAAAAAAAATCGATAGTTGCATTCGTCACAAGTGGGAAAAATTTAAATCTGCATGGCACTTTACTCCAATTGGCTCATTCGCTTGCTTAAACTCAACGTTGATTCTGATTCCGCAGAATTGGGTTGGGTGTGAAAAAGTATTTGTTGTTAACATTCTTTTTTCATTCGGTTTTTCCAGTTACGAGTCCTTTTTTAAAGCTGATCGTTTTGTGTTGATTTTGTTTAGTTCTTTTTTCGTAACAAATTTAATGTTCAGTATAGAGGTTATTCGCAGTGTGAGATAGGCAAGAAGTAAGGCATGTAGCAACATCAGCACGGCAAAGGGCACTCCTTTAAAGGCAAGGAAGGGCAAAAATATTTTAAGTCAAGTGATAGCGATTGCTGTATGAGTCGTACGATTTTTGAATCAAGCACGGGCAATGCCAGGCCATGCTGATAATATATATATATATATATATATATATATATATATATATATATATATATATATATATATATATACTTGCATTCTCTCGTTTATTTTCTTCTTTACGTACATTTCCTTTCTTTCTATTTCTTTATTTTTTCTTTCTTTTCTATCGATCTTAATTTTTTTTTCTTTCCTTCGTTCTCTCTTTCATTCTTTTTCTCCCTTTCGACCGTATATTTTTTCTTCATTTTTCATTTCTTTCTTTTTCTCTTTCATTCTATTTTCTTTCTTTGGTGCATTTTTCTTACATTCCTTCTCTCTTTCTTTCTTTCTTTCCCTTTCTTTTTTTCGTTCGTTTTTTCTTTTTTTTTCTTTATTTTATTTCCTTCATTTTAATCTCCCTTTCTCTTAACACACGCACACACGTCTGTGTATGTGTGTGTATGTGTATGTGTGTGTATGTGTGTATATGTGTGTATGTGTATGTGTGCGTATGTGTATGTGTATGTGTGTGTATGTATGTGTATATGTGGGTATGTGTATGTTGTACGTGTATGTGTGTATGTATGTATATATGTGTGTAAGTGTATGTGTGTATGTGTGTATGTGTGTATATGTGTGTGTATGTGTGTATATGTGTGTATGTGTATGTGTGTGTATATGTATATGTGTATGTGTGTGTCCGTGTATGTGTATATGTGTATGTGTGCATGTGTATGTGTGTATGTGTATGTTTCTGTATGTGTATGCGTGAGTGTGTGTGTGTGTGTGTGTGTGTGTGTGTGTGTGTGTGTGTGTGTGTGAATTATCGTCGACTTCATGTGTATGCGTTGGCGATCTAAGGGTCAGCAGGTCGAACCGTTTACAAATTCCAGCTGAGATTCTTTACGTTCGCTTTCACTCAAATCCTCCTGAAAAAAATGCTTCTCCCTCTAGCTATGGGTTAAATAGCCGGGCACAGGGAGCCAACGTAGTTGCCAACCAGTCTAGTAAAGAGATTACACTGAATTCAAAACTGTATACCGTCGACAAGATCTTACAGTCCTCACTGACTTATAACCTCACCTGCGTTCCACCTACGCTTGCGTCGATGTATTATGTCCCCCAGCTATGGATTAAATATTAGATCATCTCTTCAGTCTTAGGTGTCAACTAATCTAGGAGAAAAACAACTCTGAATTTAAAACCATGTAGCCATGTACATATACATATTATTTATATGTACCATGGCTACATGTGCATAGTACATAATATGTACTAAATGTACATAGTACATATTATGCAGCCATCAAGGTGATGGTGTTCACAGTAAATGCAATGTCATGACAACCATCGACATAATCGTACGATGTAACATGTTTTATTAATTTTACCAGATTTCACATTACTAGATAGAAGCTTAAAAAAAAATGTTTTAATTAAAAGATGTAATGTGCGTAATGTTTATAAAAAAAACTATATTGCTGTCATGGTCTGGTGCTTCCGCTGTACGTCTCGGGGTCCTTGACAAAATCCAAAGATAAATATGCAAGATAATACGTCCTGATCTGCCATCTAATCTACAATCGATATCCTACAGATATGCTGTGGCTTCCCTCTGTCTCTTCTACAAGTATTTTCACGGCATCTGTTCCAACGAGCTACTTTCGCTGGTTCCCAGACTACATGAATTTAAAACGAGCTACCAGGCTGGCATCTCGGCCCCACCCTTTCACTGTCTAAACGGTTAAATGTGCCCGTCTCTTCTTTTCAAGCAGCTTCTTCACCTGCACTTCCCGTCTGTGTAACTCCCTTCCCCTTACCTGCTTCCGCGATAACTATAATCTTCAAATATTCAAGTGTAATGTCAATCGACATCTGACACCCTGACCTTGTTCCCTGTCTTTCTATGTATCCTTTCCTCAAACATGCCTCTTTACTCTTGTTCTCAATCCTCTGTAACCCCTTGCATGCTAGTGGCACTCCTGCTTTGCTTGGGGTGAATTGCCTTAAAAACAATAAAAATAATTTGAATACAAAGGGCATTATAGCTTACCACGTAAGAGGGAGTGGGTTTGATGTACTTTATAAAGGAACCGAAAAGACGCTACAGGATCTTACCGTGTATCTCTTGGGAACGTTACAAGTAAAAGACGTTTCTTATTCGCTTCCTGCATGTGTCTCTTTACCTACTAAAATTTCGCAATTGGAACAATTTATTATATATGATGAAATCTCCCGTCGATTTCAACGTATGAAGATCTGACATTTTTTATGTTTGTGTCGTATGCGATACTTCAGTCCCGCTAGTGACCTGCATACAAGTCCGCATATTGTGCAACACTGAGGATCTCGAGACATAACAACAGAGATATTTGTTGACGCTTGCTGACCCTTGTCCTTTGTCTCTTAGCCGGTCAATACGACTTATTTCAAAATTTTTGATACAACTCTGGTACAAATATCTTCAGTTATTTCTATCCAGGGAAACTTACTCGAAGTTACTATAAGTCACATTGACAGCTGAGAGGTTACTCTTTAGCTTGTCTTTATAACTGAGCAACGGCTGTCCAACATTCCTTTGTCTACTATCAGGCTGGCTATACATGCTTAGAAATTTAAGAAATTGTGAAGAACTATGACCACCCACTTCCTGACTGTCCAAGACACATAGAAGAAGAATGAAATTTTGTATACGACTGGTAGAACACTCATTAGGAGAGATAGCAAAAAGATAAACTTTACTAATATCTACAAAGAATAGGAAATTATGGAGAGCCATGATCGCCCACGTCCTGAATGGACAAGGCATATAGAAGAAGAACTAACATGTGTTGATTATTACGTTGGCGGAGAATTAATTCAAAGAAAATCTTATTGTGCAAGACCTGCCTTCAATTAGCAATTATCTTCAACCTAATTACAATTAACGGTCGATAAAGTAGTAACAGTTCAACTATGGCGATCCGATTGTTCAATGAGATTTCAGGCGTACTCCTCAAAATATTGTAACGAGATTGCATCACTATTTTAGTCAATTAAGATTATTCCGTTTAGTCAATTCTCTGTCTGCTTCCAAGGCGGTGGGGCTGGTAAACGATAGTCAAACACGAAATTTAAATTTACCATCTTCCTCGTGCAAGAAATGTATGTTATTAATTTATTTTTAGTTGGTTCCTGGCTTTCGATTCTTAAAGAAAAATTCTCTTAAAATTAAAATATGGGTGAAAGGGTTTTTATTTTAGGCTATACTTCCGTCACTATTTTCTTAGTCTTTTCATATCTATATCTAGTGATAGAGAAAACAGTTATCTCCCCTTTGAGAAGAAGAATTCACTGATATATTAAGGGGATCTTGAGAGCTACGTGACAGGAGGGTGAGGGTTTGATGTACTTTATTGTCATGGTCCAGGTTAGGACCAAGGAAGAACAACACGAACACAAGAGTAGAAATA